ACGAGCCGACCCATTCGTGCTACAAACATAATATAAATGCAGCGTGGCTCTATCACATATAAAAATAAGAATACTACTTCCACTAGCGATTTTTATGGACCGATACGACTTAAAAACCTTCAAGAAAAGTGCCCACTCTTTTTAAAAGCCCGGCAACGTATCTGCAATTCCTAGACAAATTATTTGGTATTGCAGTTGTTCATGAGCGGTGGTAGTCACTTACCATCAGGTAAGGCGCATGCTTTTTTACCTCCTCTCATATAAAAAAAATAATAGAAAGACAATAGAACTAAACAAAAAATCACATAATAGACATGAATAGAAAAAAAATAAAAATTTCTTAAAAATAAAAAGCAGTTTGCAAACATTAAATTGTGCAAGGACAGTTAAAATTATTTGTAGGCTATACAAATATTTAAACCGTGCGGAATTCGAAACCGCCGAGTTTCAAAATTAAGTTTAAATAAATGTTTTCGTATTGAAAAGGAAAAAGTGAAACCAATAAAAGATTATTTACGACCAAGACACAAATATTAACAAATTTTCTGTTAAAACTTAGAAATAGACCGTTATATCCAACCAAATGAAACCATTCATTAGATTTTAGCTTTAAAATATAACAAAATTTGATATTTTCTGCCAAATACCATAATTTAAATTTTCTCTCGCATATTTACCACTGGTGTTGGTGGAGCCACGTGTTTAAGGCTGCCGAAAATCTAGTTCCCCGGTCAAACCTCAAACCTATTACGCGAGATATTAACTAAAGTGGACTGTATATGCGATTGCTTCTACGCTTACATAAGGCGACTACTATAGCATGCGGTACAATGCACTCGCTCTTCCCTAAACTAAACTATTACTTGTCGAATCGATGAAAGGAATCCTGCTTGACTAGGAAAAAAAAACACAGATTGGAGCGGGTTAAATTATTAGCAAGCAGGTATAATTAAGGAATATTGACTCACCGGGGGTTCTTCTTCCTGTCGATCACTATAGCGGCGACTTCTGGAACACTCCGGAGAGAGGCGGTGCGCGACGATATCTCACACGAGGTGAGGCGGGTTCCTGGAGCTCGACTGCTTCCAGGCCAAAGCGGTTTCCACTAGTGAGGTGTTTCCAAACGAGCGCGCGGGAAGAGGAGGTTGTAGTTCAACGACGACTGCGGCGGGAGAAGAGGCTCGCGCATCGGTCGCGCGTGTCTTATATATCCTCGGCTCGGGTGATTACGCGATGTTTTAGAATCGTCTTCTTTCCCCTCCCACCCCACCACCCCGATGTGTCGATAGGAGGGTACGAATGATATTGTTTGGAAAGGAAATAATGATTCTACAAGTTCCTACCGTCAAAATAAAAAAACGCGAATGGTTTTCCGCGCAACCAGGTGTCATTTATCGAAACAGATTCTTGTTTCAACTTGAGACTTATTACACACTGCTTTTTGTAACAAGTCAGTACATTGAAGTGTTTTTACAAGATCACTTAGAGACTTTCGTAACTTACTGACCGATGATGAAAATTTATTAAAGTGTCTCATTTTGTTTATTCCTTTTAGAGCCGATTTTATAATCGTCAGCTAAACTTTGATTAAAACTACTTTTACGGATTTTATCGCGTTTAATTATACTTTTAATTATTTTTATTTTTAATTGCCGACGTTTCGGGTGCTTTCCAGCACCCATGGTCACGGGGGACCATGACCATGGGTGCTGGACCATGGTGCAGGTGGAAACGTCGGGAATTAAAAATAAAATAATTAAAAGTATAATTAAACGTGATAAAATCCGTAAAAGTAGTTTTAATCAATGTGTACTGTTCGCGTAAATATAAGAAATCATTATCGTTAGCTAAAATTTACTCTGATAAGTACAGCATTAACAAATTCATTAGATCGAAGGACCGACAACCGATGGAGAAAAAAGGTTTTCAAGTGGCAGCATAGTACCGGCAAGTGGAGTATAGGGCATCCCCTTACTAGATTGAGTGACGAACTGCAAAGACGTGCAAGAAGATAATGGATGAAGGTGGCTCAGGACCGTGCTTTGTGGCATTCCTTGGGGGAGGCCTATGTTTAACAGGGACCTGTGAAGGGCTGTGATGACAACGATAACAATTTAAAAAACTGCATTTATCTAATTATAATAATTCAATTTCTGGATATCGACATAAGTGTATACCCGGTCCATTTATGAATTTAAATCATCTAGGGACCTACTCAAACACACACAAATTCGTCAAACTCGGTGCAGCCACTCTCAAGTGATAATCCTGCATGACGTTTATTTGTATAAATTATTATGGGGTATCTATATAGTTTTCTCATCTGGTTGGGTTCTATAAATATATAAATATAAATGAAAATGAAAAGATAAATATACATAAATATCAACAACATAAAATAAATATAAAAGTACATAAATAAATAAAAGCCCAACCAGATGGAGGCCCTCGGCAGGGGAGACCAAACGGCCGAGGGTTAGGGGGAAAGGGAAAGAAACCGGCGGACGATGCGGGCGGTATCGAGGAGCACAGCCTTCTGCATTTGAACCTGGAGCGGTCCGCCACGTAGTCCCAGCCGCCTCAGATGACCCGAGAGGCTGACTGGGATTAGCCCGTTTGCAGAGACGACTACAGGAATAATTTCGGTCGGCAGACCACCCCACATGTCGGTCACCTCGTGAGCCAGGTCCAGATATTTTGTTTGCTTGTCTGTTTCGGCTTTCACGAGGTTCTCGTCATGCGGAATGGTAATGTCAACCAAAAATATCCTTGACTGTGCCCGGTCCATCAGCACAATATCAGGCTTATTCGCAAGAATAGTCCTGTCTGTGATGATGGCCCGGTCCCAATAGAGCCTGGCGCGATCATTTTCGAGCACGGCTTCCGGCAAGTACTTGTAATACGGCAATTTCCGATCCACGAGACCGTATTTCAGAGCGAGCTCCTGGTGTAGAATTCTGGCTACTAGGTTGTGCCTGTGCAAGTACTCAGAGTTAGAAAGCACCGAACAACCGGAGATAACATGCCTAAGTGACTCACCGGGATGGCGACAAGCTCGACAGATGTCGACGGTGCCATCCTTTAGGATGTATCTCCGATAGTTGTTGGTCTTAATAACCTGATCCTGTATTGCACAGACAAAACCCTCGGTTTCCCCGAAGAGATCACCAAAGCGTAACCAGTGGAGGGAGGCTACTGTTTCTACGAAAGGCTCATGTAGAGCCTTGTAGAACCTCCCGTGGAGCTCCTTCTCCTTCCATACGGTCTCCCGGTCGGAAATGCTCTGCACTGCCGGGTCTTGCCATTGCTCGTTTGCTAAGGATAGAGGGGTAAGTCCTTTATCACAAGAAATGACGTCCTTATAGAATGGATCATCAGATCTCGCCAGGAAGTAATCACGGAGGCTGCACACTTCGCGATTATGCATGGTGAGCGCGCTCAAGAAGCCACAACCACCATGCTTCCGCGACAAGTACAGCCTCATTACCGACGATCTCGTATGATGCATCTTATGGGACGTCATGGTAGTGCGGACTTTTCTATCCAGGGCGTTAAGTTCAGTTTGAGTCCACCTGAGTATGCCAAAGGTATACATGAGGACAGGCATGACCCAGCCGTTATATGCGTGTGCCTTATTCACACCGGACAAAAGGCTGTTAAGCACTTTGGTCAAGCGTGCATAAAACACGTCGCATACTGACTGTTTCATACCAGTCTCATCGATACCGATGTTTTGTGACATACCCAGGTATCGGCATGTTTCAGCCTCGGAAAGGTTCCTTAAGTTGACGGGCATAGATAAGTCTACACCCTCAGAGTTAGCAACCCTTCCCCTTTCAACATGGAGGACCGCACACTTATCCGTCCCAAGCTCCATTCCCATAGAATTGCTAAATTCACAAGTGATGTTTAGCAATTCCATAAGATGGGAGCGACTGGAGGCAAATAACTTGAGGTCATCCATATAGAAAAGGTGGGTCACTTTTGTCCCTCCTTTCCGTAGCTGAAATCCCCTCCCGGAGCCCTCCAGTAAGGTACTGAGAGGGTTCAGAGAGAGGCAGAACCAGATTGGACTCAGACAATCGCCCTGGAAGATACCCCTTCTTATACTTATGTGGTTCTCCGCAGCCATCATCCGCTCGCCCAGATGACAAAGGATCGTACTCCACTGCCCCATACACTGCTCGAGGAAGTCTCTAACTGCACAGTCTATCTTGTACAGCTCGAGGACTCTCTTTAGCCATGTATGGGGCACCGAGTCGAATGCCTTTCTGTAGTCTACCCAGGCGGCGGAGAAGTTCCGACGGTTGCGTTTCACCACTTTGCCAATGACCGCGTCAATGAGGAGTGGTTCCTTGGTTCCACGACCACCGCCCCGACATCCATTTTGAGGGCGCGACATCACCTGATTTGAGTCCAGGTGACAAGTGATTCTCGCGCTCAAAATGGATGTTAGTGTCTTGTATATGGTCGGTAGACACGTTATGGGGCGGTATTTGCTCGGGTCTGTGGTACCCTGGTCTTTAGGAACCAAATGAGTGATCCCAGTAGTGAAGAGGCTTGGGAGCGACTTCTGGTTGAGAGCCTCTTGAAACTGTCGGGCGAGCACAGAGTGACACACCATGAACCCCTTCAGCCAGTAGTGATGCAGCCCGTCAAGCCCCGGACTTTTCCAGTTCGGGGCCCTACGGACCGCCTCAGCTACGTCATCCGGCGTTATGATGACGGGGTCCATGGGCGTAATACCCGCACACTGACTCGCCACAACTTCCGTCCAAGGGCCCTCGCTGTGGTTTACGGGCTCCGACCACAGGCCGCGCCAGAATGCTACAGTGTCGGCCTGATTCGGTGCTGGACCCGTTCCACTTACCATTGGTCGCTCCAATGATTCATAGAGCCTCTTCTGATCACTCTGGAAGAGACGATTCTGGTTGAACCGTGTCGACCTCTCGGTATATCGCCGAATCCGCTTTCCCCAAGCAGCGATTCTCTGCTTCAGATCATCTATGCGCTCCGTCAGTTTTTGCGTTATATCCGGCTGGGACAAACTGACATTTGTCCCAGCACCGGGCATATCGTCTGCCGATGAGAGCTCTAGCCTTTGCGATACGTTCCTCAATTCTTCTTCTCCATGCTGGGATAGCGCTACTATGGCCAGTAGCGCGTCCAGCCGTGGAAACCTTGGCGCCTATGATACGGCAGACTGCCAGCGTGGCGCCAAAAAGAATTGAGTCCGTCTCGCAAAGGTCCCGGCTGGCTTCCAAATAGGTCACCAGCATTGGGTTCAGAGCACTCACGACAGCCCGATTCCGCTTGCTTAGGGCTATGCGGGGAAGTCGCGGTCGATTTTCTAGAGGCGTACTGCGCGTTTCCACAATCGCCTCTTCCAATGTACTCCTCATATGCTCTAATTCCAGTTCCTGGGTGACTGTTCCATCATCGCTTGAATCAACCACAACTGGGGTATTCACGGCGGCATCCACGTTTGCGGGTTGCTCTACCATTTGTGGCGACGCATCCTCAGCCGTAGCATTCTCATCCGACGAGGGAACAGCCTCACGTCGTAGCCGTTCGAGTTCGGCGACATAAAATATATTTGAGCGCAAGATATACCGAACTCGGTCTGCCAGGTTTTGCTCTGTGACGGTTAAAGATGGCTCCAGCTCAGCAAAAAGACGATGCATCCTAGCCCGATACGCCAAACATCCAGTTTCTCCCCCTTTCGCCCTAAAATACGCCCGCAATGCGTTGCTGTTCATCTGGGTTGTCCAACGCATGCGGCGTACTCCACCAGAGGCGGGTGCCGATTGCTGGGCCCGCGAAGACCCTGCAGACACCAAGCCAGCTGGTGGGGATGATGGATGCGAGGGGCTGCTGGGTGATCGTGCAGCACCTCGCGTCGGCTGGCGGTTCGCATGCTGCCGCTGGGTGGTCGTGCAGCACCTCGCGCTCGGCTGGCGGTTCGCATGCTGCCGCGTCCAGCGCCAGCTCCAGACGCGCCCTAGCGACCTCCAGGCAGCGGCCCTTTGCGCGTTCTATTTAATTCCATCATCCATTTTTAGGGCGTCATTTAGCGGGAGACGCCCAGACCCGGCGCCTTTTCATGTTGAGGCCATGTGCACAAGCGGGCCTTTTCACCTTCAATTTTTGCCGAGGCACGGCACTAACACCTCTTGGCAAGGCGCTGACTGAGTGCCCTGACGTAGCGGTTTTGTTACATAACCGTTACGTCAGCGGGCGATGGGGTCGTCACTTCCCTACGCCTGTATAAATTATCATTATTATCATTACAGCCTTCACAAGTCCACTGCTGAACATAGGCCTGCCCCAAGGACCAAGGTATACCACAAAGCACGGTCCTGAGCCACCTGCATCCATCGACTTCCTGCATTTCTTACCAGGTTTTCACTCTATCTAGTGGGGTTTGCCCTACACTTCACCTACCAGTACGATGCTGCCACTCGAGAACCTTTTTCCCCAACGGTTGTCGGTTCTTCAAGCTATACGGTGGGTCAATTGCCACTTCAGCTTACTACTCGGTCGGGATATGTCGGTCACTCTGGTTCACTGCGGATATCCTCATTTCTGAGTTTACCACGCAGAGAAACCCCGAGAATAGCCCTCTCAATAACTCGCTGAGTGACTTTGAGCGTCCTCATACGGCCAACAGTGAAGGACCACGTCTTAGTTCCATAGATCATCACTGGCAACACGCACTGGTTGTATAGTCTCGGCTTCAGATTTTGAGGTATAGCTGACGGGTAGATGTGTCGTAACTTCCCGAACGCTGCTCAGCCGAGTTGAATCCGTAGGTTGACCACTCGGTCGAAGTTGGACTTACGTTTACGTAAACGACCTCATCAACAACTTCGAGCATAGTGCTCACAACAACTTCCGGCATAGGTTGACATGGACATTAAACATGATCTTTGTTTTGTAAATGTTCATCTTCAGAACTATCCGTTGAATGACACTATTGAGGTCAGTGAGAGGATAGTGCTTAGGTCCTCCAGCGATTCTGCTATAAGGAATATGTCGTCGGCAAATCGAAGGTGAGTAGTGTACTTGCCATTGATGTTAATATCGTATCCTTTCCAGTCCAGTAGCTTGAAAACGTCTTCCAATGCAGCGGTGAAGAGTTTCGGGGATATAACTTCAACCAGTCTTACACCTCTCTGCAGTTAAATAGGTTTTGTACTTTGGTTCTGTACTCAGATAGCCATCGTATCCCTACTGTACAAACACTTCAGTACTTGGATATACCGTCAGTACACTTGGCATCGCTGAAGGGACTGTAGCACCGCCCAAATATCGACGAAATAAAGGCTATCTCATGGTCTGCATACGTTAGACAAAGTCGTAGATTGTACTCTCCGGACTTCTGCACAATTTGCAGAAGGGTTTTTGTGGTCTATGGTGCTAAAGCCTTTTTGAAAACCGGCTTGGTCGGGAGTCTGAAAGTCGTCGAGTCTGCGTGCGAGATGATTCGTATTGACTCTCGAGAACAGCACGTAGACGAGGCTCAGAAGGGATATCGATCTGTTGTTCTTCAAGAGAGCGTTGTCACCTTTCTTGAAGAACAAGACCACCGCACTTCTGCTCCACGCCTCGGAATTAGTGCCACCATGGAGGCCGGAATTAAGGCCTCTGAAGGACTTCAAGTACCGGTTTTCCACCGGCTTTCAGAAACTCCGCTGTAATTCCATCCTCGCCGGAGGACTTGCTATTTTTAAGGTGCTGGAGAGCCATTCTAATCTCACTCAGATTGACGTCCAGTATATCATCGGAATAGTATCGGATAAGACTTGCTCTTGGATCGCTGCTTAAACTTGTGTGTGGCTCCAACGACGACGTGAACAGCTGCCAATAGAACCTCTCAATCTCACTCAAATCTCAGGATTCCCGGAAACTATGCTGCCACACTCAGTCTTTTTGACAGACAGATACCTGACAAAGACTTTGGAGCCTTGATTCTGCTCGATCGCTTCTTTAAAATCTTGGTGATTCTGAGTATTAGGTAGGCGAACCAAGTCGACACACTCAATCTTTACAACGTTGTTGACGAGAGACTTGTGGACGATAAATTCAACACCTCCTTGGGTCAGATGGTCGCGCTCCCGGTTATAGAAAAGTTGCCCGATTCGAGGATTACCGTGTCCTTCCCTCTCTTTAGACTAACATACGGAGCTAATTTCAGCCCAAACCGGGATTTGAACAAGATACCTCATGATCAAGAAGTCACACTTAAGATCGCTAGACCAACGAGGCGTTAGAACTAATAATATCGCAAATTCATCAGTAGTTATAGAAAATTTATCTACTCTGGAAAAGGAATAAGAAAAAGATCATGTAGCTCACCTGATGGTAAGTGACCAACGCTGCCCGAAAAGATGGGTATTGCAAGTGCATCCCCTCCCCCCATGTGGATAGTTACCTGGATATTGACGTTAATCAAGTTCGATTTGTCAATGTAACAATCGGAGATTTGTTGTATATCTTTCATTCCATTAATCATAAGTTCAATCAAGCGAGACGTAAAATATCGGTGACCTACCTGTCATTCCAACTGAAGTTGAGAAATTTTATAAGTTACCCTAACCTTGTATAATAATCGATCATTACAGATAAACTCGGTTAGTAACACGTCTCTCCACAAACACATTTCAGTCCACACGTTCAATCAGTCAAAAGAGAATTTTCAATTAGAGATGAATTCACGTCACAGTCGAATTCGTAAACGTGGAGCAATAATTATTCGTTTCGGATAATGACTGATGTGTTTGCCTCGGGGTACGATACGTCGTAATTTCCAAATTTAGTCAATGATTTTGCTGAAATTATTTTACACTTCAATCTTCCAATTTTATGAATCAATAATTTGAATTTAATATTATAGCTCATGAAGGCAGAGATTTAATTCTTCCATTTGCTACGTTTCAGAATCGACTTTGGAAGCTCATAAATTATCTGAAAAAGATTTTACCTTTTTTAAATATGTATAAGAGGGGGAAAACGAGGGTGTGGGTTACATATTAGTAAGTGACTAACACCGCCCATGATCAACAGCAACACCATCGAAATTGCAGAAGCGTTGCCGGCCTTTAAAAAACTAGGCTATTTTCTTGAAGGTAACCAAGTATAGGTATCCCCGTATCGGTCTGGAAAAATCGAGTGCGAGTAAAAAAAACATCTTGTAAATCGCACAGATGATGGTATGGATGGTATCGCATATTTTGTCTCGATGTGCGATGTGTTTAATTTTTTGAGGTTGGTTTTAACGACTATTTTCAAAAGTTTACTCATTTGAACTTTTTATACGATTGGCTGTTTTACAACTAGTATGTCGTCTCAAAAGTTAAATTAAAAATTTAATTCCCTTATTTTCTACCATTATAGTTGGATTTTTTGGCAATTTTGATGATAGTTATCTTAAACACTTAGCCTATTAAAAAGAAATAAGTTATATCGGTTCACAAATGGAAAAGCTATCGCATAACTTACGTATGTAAACGAAAAGTAGTGACTTTATATTAGAAATTTCGAAATAATTGGTCTTCATCTTTATCATTAACTATCTGTTCCCCGCGACTTCACCTGCGTGTAATTTATTACGATTTGATTTCTATGAGTTTAATTTTTTTTTGCGCGGATAAATAATTCTTTTTTTTAAATAAAAGTAGCCTAAGTTACTCCACAGGACATTTCTGCCTATAATTCTTGTGAAATTTTTTCCAGCTACTTCGGAGATTAACCGAAACAAACAGAGAGACAGAATGAAATGAAGAAAAGAAAACAGACAGAAAAAGCTTTAAAATTTGTGTTTTTGTTATAAGTACCGCATTTGCTTTCATATGCATTTAGTAAAAAACTGTTATTTTCACATTACAAACAGACCATTACAACAGAACAGTTTATATAGAAGTTGCCAGGCAAATTGGTTTATAGTTTGGCAAAATTAAAAAAGTGAAGAATGTACACTCCTTTTTTTATGGAAAATTTAAAAAAAAAAATAGTTGAATCCACATTCAAGCTATGACATCGCTTTTTAAAAAAATCTGTTGTTCATATGCTGTCAGGTCGTTTTCCGTCGTTTCTTATTTTTTTTTCATATTAGTTCTGTGATCACTAAAACTTTAAAATTCGTACTATTTTCGAATATGTGTTTAAAAACGCAACGGCATTTTTTAAAAATATAAATTGAGTAATAAACATAACGATATTTTATGTAATTATTCTACGGATATATTTAAAATTTAATCTTCAATAAATATTAAGTCTATAGTGCGATCGGTATGGAATAAATTAAATTTTAACGAATGATACGAAAGCCAAACACGAGTGACATGAAATGGTAGTAATCAAAATAAATAGACATAAATACAGCACAATATGCGCTTTCTCGCACAGCAATCGCGTGCCGTTGTTAGGAATTCTGTCGGAGCGAGATAAGGTCGGCTATCGTCGTCGCTTTAACTGTAAATCCGATTTCGATGAATGCTAATAAATTCGTAACACAGAATTTGCCTCATTCATTCCGTGTTTCATAGCAATGGATACGTTGTCTAGTGAATATGTTATGTCATCTCGTTTTCGCAATCCCTTAATTGCATGTGAAATATCGCTTCGATTGTAATCCACCTATATATATATTACCTAGCCTTGTGAAATATTTTAGATTTAATCG